CGCCGGAGGAGCATGGTGGACCTGACGGCGGCGACCGGACATTGTCACGGTGGTCGGCGCGATGGGGAAGACAATGGTGTAGGAACGACCATAGGAGAGTTTCAGTTTTGTTTTTTTTTTTTTAATTTTTATTTATTTTTTATTTTTTATGTGGGACTTCATCTTGTAAATTTGATAAGTGATAAGGGTTTAATTGCAATTTTAGATCTTTTAGTATATTACAATTTAGTTCATGTGTCAATTTGTAATTAATCAAACTATAATTTAAATTTTAATGTTTTTATTTAATTTTGGTTGAAACTAAATGATATTTTTAAGTAAGAATATATTTATAATACGTCGTTTTATACGGTGTAACACGTTGTGTTATATGGTGCAACACATTACTATATAACGTGCAACGTATTAATTTTGGTACGTTAGCTGTGTGTTTTTAGATAGATGATTTGATAAAGTGCAACATATTACTTTATAAAGTGCGACATTCCGTTATATAAAGTGCAATGTCTATTTTATACCTTCTTATATAACGTATGTATAAATATGTGTATAATTGTACATTAAATTAACCTAAATGATTAAAATGGCTTTTTATTTATTATTTTTATTTTATAATTAATTTATTAATAACAAATATTTTTATATTATTATGTATATTGTAAAATAAATTTTATATTTTAACATTTATATTTAATAATTTATAATATTTATAGTTGAAGATATAATATACAAAAATATCAAAATCTATAAAGTGCAATCGCGCAGGCATTACTGTGCAATTCGTCTAGCATTATTGTGCAATATGGTAGTGGTTAATGTGCAATCGTCTAACACTGTTGTGGTCGCAATGTATGCAATTTTTAATGACTTGTCCCACATCAAGCTAAACATAACCGAAATAATTGATTTAATCAATCGGTTGATCGAATTAACCTAAATATACAAAATAATTTATAATTTACAGTTTAAAAACTAAATTGAGTATTTTAATGCTTTTAATTAATATTTTATATTATTATTATTTGAAAAGCCATATATATATATATATTATAAAATAATATTTTTATATAGTTTTGTCGGTTGATTATTATAAAAATATAACGTTATGATGTTGGATTGGAATAATTAAAATTTATAAGTAAAAAATGATAACCGAACCTATGTATATGAATTGTACAAGGAAAATAAGCCCATTTCGATTGGTAAATTTGTTACGCTAAAGTGCAATATGATAGGCACAAAAGTGCATCCCGTCAGTCGTTAATGTGCAATATGTACCATACATTTTTTATAATATTTTATACTATGTTTATTTAACATTTTTATTTAATATTTTAATATGTATGTATAAAAACTATATAACAATAATATTCTTTTACAGGTTTTTATAAATTCGAAATTAGGCCCAAAGACTAAATTAAGATATAATTAAAAATTATTAAATTGCAATTAAAACCTTCCACAACATCTAATTTATACAAAAATACCCCAATCCCAATACTCCATTGCCGGTTGTGTTACGGTTGCCGACTCTATGGCCGTCTCCACCATCTTCTCCCTCCGAAAAAACACGGCTCCAGTTCGCCGTCACCATGGCCGTCTGCACCACCATCTTCTCCCTCCGAAAAAAAACATGACTCTAGTTCACCGTCACCATGGTCGGCAACTTCCTCGACGTCACCCGCTGCAACATCAGCACCATCTCATCCACTCAGATTCCGGCGAGAAGACGGGCGTCGTGTAAACTAGAGAATTTTTGATACAGTAATGAACATATTTGGGAAAATTTTCACAGCTAGAATATTTTCATTTTTTCTCATCTGAAGAAGATGAAGCACACTAGCCTATTGTTTGTTGTGTTTTTGTCCTTATTTTCTTGTGTTTTATGTGTTTTATTTTGTGGTTTTTAGGTCCGTTTTTAGGCTCGTCCGGTCCATTCTGTTGTGTTTTGTATATTATTGCTCTTGTATAGCTTGTTCGTATTTTTGCGCGTTGTCTCTTTGTTTTTGGTGTGATTAGGTCCATTTCATCGCGCACGAGGAGACGAACCGTCCAAGCCGTCCAACCCAGAAA